TTTTATTACATAAAACTATATTTGGTATTTGAGAAGGTTTTTTTTTTATAACTATTTATAAAAATTCTCCCATTTTTAGTTATTTCCACTTTGGAGTTCAGATTTTGAATATTAGTCTTCCATTCTTTTTCCATCTTTGAAATATGTGTGTGTATGTATACAGAATTTTGCTGAAATTTTCCAATCTTGGTTGATGGAAACCATGTGAAGATGGACACTATCCAATATGTTGCCACTAGTCAATTGTGGCTTTTGAAGCACTTGAAATATGGCTAGGCTGAATTTGAGGTGTTCTATACATGTGAAAAAGCAAACCACTAAATTTTTTTTTTATCTGTTATTGCAACAGATATCTAGAAGTGTTTTCATTTTATAAAACTGAAACTCTGTTCAGCAAACAACATCTTCCCTCTTTCCTCCTCCCTCCAGGCCCTGGGAACCAATTTTTGTTTCTATAAATTTGACTACTTTATACCTCTTACAAATGAAGTGATGCAGTGTTGGTCTTTTTGTGGCTGGGTTATTTCATTTAGCATAAAGTTTATAAGGTTTATCCAAGTTGTAGCATGTGCCAGGATTTCTTCCTTTTTAAGGGTGTGATATATTCTATTACAGGAATGGACATTTGCGTATCCATTCATTGGTCAATAAACTCTTGCATTGTTTTCACCACTTGATTCTAGTGAATATAGGTGTGCAAATATCTCTTCAAAATCCCATTTTCATTTCTTTGTATCTGTTACCCAGAAGTGGGATTGCTTGATCATATGGTATTTCTTTTTTTAGAATGGTCTTCCAATACATAAAAGCAAGGTGTCTTTCCTTTTTTCTATGTCTTATTCAATTTCTTTCAACAGTGTTTTTGTGGTTTTTCATGTAGAGTTCTTTCATCTCCAGGATTAAGTTTATTTTCTAAGTATTGTTCTCTTTTCAATGCTGTTGTAAATGGGATTGTTTTCTCAATTTCTTTATAGATTGCTCATTGTTAGTGTAAAAAAACCCTGATTTTTGTATGTTGACATATCTTGTAACATTGTTAAATTTATTAGTTTTAATTTGTTTACTAGTTGAGGTAATTTTTTTTTCTGTTCCTAGTTTGTTGAATGTTTTTTCTTTCCATGAAAGAAAGTTGAATTTTTTTAATGCATTAATTGAAATGATCATAGCGGTATTTGTCCTTCATTCTTTTATTATGGTGTATTGATAAATTTTTGTAACTTGCATTCCAGGAATAAATCCCACTTGGTCATGATATATATAGTCACCATACTCTACTTTACATCTCAGAATTTTATTAACCTTGTAACTGAGTTTTATACCTTTTGACTACCTTAACACGTTAAACGCTGTATCACTATACTTTCAGTGTCAGTCACTATACTTTCTGTCTGGAAGACAAAACAGGCGGGGTGCTTAATGTGTTAACCTGTTTCCCCCTTCCTTCACCCTCCTCTTTGCAGTATTTTTGTGATTTTTGGTATTGGTAATATTGGCTTCATAAAATGACTTTGGAAATTTCCCCCTTTAATTTTTAAAAAATATGTTTTCATTTATTTATTTTAAGAGAGGAAGGGAGAGAAATATCAATGTGAAAGCAAAACATTGATTGGCTGCCTCGGGCATGTGCACTGACTGTTTATCAAATTTGTGACCTCTTGGTGCATGGGATGATGATACTCAATCCACTGAGCAACACTGGCTGGGCTTCTTTAAATTATTATTATTATTTTTTTAAAAAGAGTTTAAGGGTTGTTGTTAATTCTTTCACCAGTAAAGCCATCTGGCCATCAGCTTTTCTAGTTAGAGGTCTCTCCCCACTTTTTATTTTCATGATTTAGTCTTGATAGGTTGCATGTTGCTAGAAACTTATCTGTTTCTTTTAGTTTACCTAATTCATTGGTGTATAATTGTTCTTGGTGGTCTCATGATTCTCTTTATTTATGTGACATCATTTTTAATATCTCATTTCTGATTTCTAGTATTTGAGTTTACTCCCATTTAGTTCAGTAAGGGTGTGTCAATTTTGTTGATCTTTAGAGAAAAAAAAAAATCCACTTTCATGGACTTTTCCCCCCTATGTTTTTATTTTCTATTTTATTTACTTCTCTAATATAGACTTTCTTTTGCTAATTTACATTTTGTTTCTTCTTCTAGTTTCATGAAGTGTAAACTTAGGTTGTTGATTTGAAGTCTTTTTAATATAGGTAGGATTTTAGTGCTATAAACTTCCCTCTTAATATTATTTTTGCTACATCCCTTAAGTTTAATTTTGAATTTTTGTTTCCATTTGTGTCAATATTTTCTAAAATCTCTTGAAATTTCTTTTTATCTTTTGGTTGTCCAAAGGTATATTGTTCAATTTTCATGTTCAGGAGTGGGAAAAATTGGTTTACAATTGAGGTTACGCAAAACAGATTATTGTATTTATTAATTATTATATTATTTTTCATATGAGCAACTGTAAACCTCTTTCCTACCCCTGCATTTGAGAATTTTTCAGTTTTTCTGTTACTATTGATTTCTAGTTTCATTCAATTCTGATTGTAAAAGATACTTGGTATCATTTCAGACTTCTTAAATTTGATAAAACTTGTTTTGTGTCCTAGCGTGTGATCTTTCCTGGGAAATGTTTTGTGAGTACATGAAAAGAATGAGTATTCTGCTATTGTTGGAGTATTACATTAAGTTCAGTTGGTCTGTAGTGTAGTCTAAGTCCTTTTTCTTTTCTGATATTCTGTCTGATTGGTCTTGAAATCTCCTGTTTGGTAAAATTCTGCTGTAAATCCATCAGACCCAGGACTTTTGTTTGCTGGGAACTTTTTAATTACTGCTTCATTTTCATCAGTTGTTATTGGCCTATTCAGGTTTTCTGATTCTTCCTGATTTAGTTTTAGATTTGTATTGTTTCTAGGAATTTGTTCATTTTTCTCAGGTTGTCCAGCTTGTTGGCATATAAATTGTTCATAGGATTTGCTTACAATCCTTTGTATTTCTGTGGTGTGTTGTTACTTCACCTCCTTCATTTCTGATTTTATATGGGTGCCCTCTCTTTGTTTCTCAATGAGTCTAGCTAAGGGTTCATCAATCTTGTTTATTTTTTCGGACTACTACCTCTTGGGCTCATTTATGTTTTGTACTATTTTTTTAGTTTCTATGTCATTTATTTCTGCTCTAATCTTTATTATTTCCTTCCATCTACTTCCTCTGGGCATTTCTTGCTGCTCTCTTTCCAGTTTGTTTCGTTTTAGGGGATTTTTAAACACCTTTAATCTTAATATGAAGGGGAATTCTTCGGGGGGAGGGGTAAATAAGATAACATAATTTTCCTTCACCAAGGTACAGCTGGTTTGGGAATGGTCCACTGTGGGTCAAGGGAGAACGTATACATTAAGTGGGAGGTGATTGAAAGTATTTTATAATCTGTGTATTTTATAAGAAGTTTTTGTTCAACTTTTGTCTGTTGAACATCATTTTATCTTCCTTTGAATTATCCAGAATTTTTATTGTTGAAGTTTCTATTAATATAATATAAATGCAGACAACACTTAAAAATCTGTGATAAAAATTATTTTCTTGTCATTTGCATATTTGTAACTTGGTATTGGTGACAAATACCTCAATCACTTTAGCAAACTAGCGAGCAATTTTCTTGTAATTAAGGTGTTAAATTCTAGTTTATGAATGTGTATATATTTAATTTTAAGAAATTCTGTTTATTAAAATTGTAATCATCTAAGGTGACATCTAAGTATGAACCACAGTATTAAAAGAGGGCAATGGCAATGTTTTCTCTAATTTTGTGGCAAATGAACTATTTATAATTGACTAGAGGCCTGGTGAATAAAATTTGTGCACGGGTTGGGGGCATGCCCCTCAGCCCAGCCTGCACCCTCTCCAATCTGAGACCCCCTCGAGGGCTGTTAAACTGCTCTTTTAAACGGGCAGTCGGACATCCCTCTCACAATCCAGTACTGCTGGCACCCAACTGCTTGCCTGCCTGCCTTCCTGATTGGCCCTAACCGCTTCTGCCTGCCAGCCTGATCACCCCCTAACCACTCCCATACCATCCTAATTGATGTATAACTGCCCTCCTGCCAGCCTGTTTGCCCCCAACGTTCCTCCTCTACTGGCCTGGCCACCCCTGATTGCCCTCTCTTGCAGGGTTGATCACCTCCAACTGCCTTCCCTTGCAGACCTGGTCCCTCTCAACTGCCCTCCCTTATAGGCCTGGTGCCTCCCAACTGGCCCTCCCCTGCTGGCCATCTTGTGTCCACATTGGGGCAGAATCTTTGACCACTTGGGGGCAGCCGTCTTGTGTGTGGGAGTGATGGTCAATCTGCACATTACTCTTTTATTAGATAGGATAGAGGCCTGGTGCACAAGTGGGGGCGAGCTGGTTTGCCCTGAAGGGTGTCTCGGATCAGGGTGGTGGTTCCCTTGGGGTGTGGGATGGCCTGGGCAAGGGCCTGTGGTGGTTTGCAGGACAGCCACGCCCCCCAGCCATCCAAGTGGAGGCCCTGGTATCTGGAATTTCTTTACCTTGTACAATTGAAACTTTGTAGCCTGGTTTGGAGGCCTGGGCCAGCCAGGACAGGTGGAAAGCTTGGCTAATCTCCGTTGCCGGGGACAACCCTATCCTGCTCACTCCAGCTCTGTGGCTGCCACCATTTTTCCTGGGATTTATCTTCTATAATTGAAACTTTGTATCCTCGAGGCCTAGACCAGCCAGAGTGTGTGGAAAGCTTGGCTTCCGTTGCTGGGGAAATCCAAGCCTCTCAACTGCTCTCTGTGGTCGGTAGCCATGTGGGTTGGGTTTATTTGCATACTTGCTCTGATTGGCTGGTGGGCGTGACTGGTGGGCATGGCTTGAGCAGAGTGATGATTAACTTGCATATTACTCTTTTATTAGGTAGGATTCTTAAAACACCAAGTAAGATTCAAATATGATTATGTGTTAATGTTATTAAAACAACTTATGTTGCCTACTTTACATTTTCCAGGAACATCACTTACAGCGAGCTATTTCAGCACAGCAAGTATTTAGAGAGAAAAAAGAGAGCATGGTCATTCCAGTTCCTGAGGCAGAGAGCAACGTCAACTATTACAATCGCTTGTACAAAGGAGAGTTTAAACAACCAAAACAGTTCATTCATATTCAGCGTAAGTTTTTTTTAACTCATTATTTTCTGTTTGTAATTTAAAATCCTTTCTCTCTCTTGTCCACAGAGATTTAAAATTTTTAATTTGTATATACTGATTAGTAGAAATGTAAAACATTAGATAATAAATCCCTCTGTGCTTATATCTGAACTTGGAGATCATTTTGAGTGTTAGTTGCATTTGGAGCATTTGATATTAATGTAGTGTAGGATTTTATATAGCACTAGTTTTTATAAAATTTTAATTCTGCCTCCTTGATATACTCATGTTTCTTTCCATTGTTATTAGTTAAGTGATAATTTCTTGCCTCTTTTAATAACCTCCTAATTATTATATTAATACCCCCCATCTCCTGACCTTACCCTTTTCTAATTTATCTATTCACAAAATCCATTAGCACCGGAGTGTCTATTCGAAGTGTCAGCCTAAATCCTACGGTTCTTTATTATCTACTAGAGGCCCAGTGCATGAAATTCATGACTGGTAGGATCCCTAGCAGCTCCTGGCCAGGCACTTCCTCCCTTCCCCCTGGCTGCCTGCCATCTCCAGCTGCTGGCCCAGGCCTCCCTCCCCCCAGCCAGCTTGCCCCCTGGTCAACTCCCATAACTCCAGGTGAGGGGACAATGTGCATACTATACTTCTATTATATAGGATAGTAGGATTTTTCACCCAACTCCTCACAGATATGCTTCTGTCTTGTCTAATAGTGCATACACACACACACACACACACACACATACACACACACACACACACCCTCCCCCCCCCCCCTCAGGCAATTTGTTAGAATAGAGATTCCAGCATTCTGTTTAGGCGTACCTGCCTAAGACTCTCTGGTATGCAACTGTTATAAAGAATATTTTAGCAGTTTCTCAAGTAATTCTGAAACATCTTCAGATTTATAGTCACAGGACTTTAAGATTTGTTTTTTACGTAGATCCTAAGATGAATATTTTTTCACTTCTCATCTTTGAAATGAGATTGCATTTTTAAATTGTTATTGACCTGGATTGAAGTTTGGTTTAACTAAAGAAAATTTACATTTGTTTCTGCCAGGCATCTGAAGATACTTGTCAGTCTGAGAGCATTTTAAATTATTGGCTTGTTTGTTTTATTTATTTGTTTTTGTACCACACTGGTAACTTTAGTTCAGACTACAGACTTGTTTGGATTTTAGTTCTCAGGGGGAGATTTTCTCCTTCCTTCCACAAAAGCAAAAGTTCTTTGCTTTTCCTTTCTGTACGACCAGTTTATTTTCTGACCTTACACTGAAGTTGTTGTCCTTTGTGTAGTGCGTGCAGCTTTTATGTAGGAGTATACTATGAAGTCTCCTAATAGACTCCAGCATAAAGTTTTGATTTTTTTCTTTCTTATTATACATAAAGTCATGGTAAAGTTGTAGTTAATGTTTTTTGTTTTGTTTTGTTTTTTGTTTTTTTGACAATATTTAGTAATAGCCAGATTCTTCATTTTGAAAACAAGCTACTTTGTGATTTATTCTCTGACAGCTCGGTTAACCTTATTTTCTGTTGTTCTTTCCCTTATTCTCTGCACCATAGGGACTAACTAAAAATTATACACACTTGCCTTGCTTTACATTTCACAATTCCTTGCATGTACTATTCAAGTGTTCTTTCCGTTCTTATAGCTCATTTAAGACATAACTCACTTAAAAAGTTTACCCACTTTTCTCATTCTACTTATCTACTTTGCATATCTCAGTATTTTGTACATAAGAGGACTCACCATATGCATTGCAGTTATTTGTAGCCATTCTTTCTCTCTTTTTAGACTCTGATTTCCTTGAGGACAGAAGACTTTGTTTTCTTTTGTTTTTGTATCTTTAGAATAAAGTGCATGGCTTATAGATGTTCAATAGATGGCATGTTTGTTGACTGATTCAGTTGTTTTTAAATGGCTTTTATAAGTCCGTTAGTTGTCATAACCATTTTCGAGAAACTTTTTTTTCTCTTAAGCATTCAAGAAAAACATATTCAAACATTATTTGTGATCAGTTTTCTCTGTGTTCTTTCATTTTGAGTTCCATTAGCTTACTGAATTTGCCTTATCTTTGTATTAGGAGGGAGATAGCTGTTTACATGAGGAATTTTAAAAATTTGTCAAGCCAAAGTATATATTTTTTATTTTTAATAACAGTATAGCCAGACAATAGGACTATTTGTAAAATCTATTCTAGGAAACCAAGAAGCAAGAAATTGGATGTAACTGTCCAGGTCAGGCCCATTGGATTCAGTTAACATTAATTTTATATTGGTGTTTGTTTATTTTTAACTTCATTTCATTTTATTATTGTAATAAATAATTTGAATAAAAATAACAGTTACGTTAACTCTTTAGTCTATCGACATATATATTCTACATACAATGTAATTTTATACTATACATACAATTTTTTTATTCTGCTTTTCTACTGATGCTTTTTTAAGTTTTTCAAGTTTTTATATTAATAGTCTCTTATTTTCATTTTCAATGTATACTACTTTTTTATCAAATTGATTTTCCACAATTTGCTTATCTTTGTGGTTATTATTGGCTTTAAGGTTATCTGTAGTAAAACGTAATCTTTTGTTACTTAGGTGTTATTTTTTACAGGAAAGCTTAAAAAGTATTTTTTTTATATATATATATAAAACTCCTTTTAAGTCCTTAACTGCAAGAAACTTCAGATAATATTGCTCTGGATTTTTTCTTTTTCTTCTTTAAATGATAGATTTGAAAGAATCCCCATTAGCCTGGCTAGAAAAAAGACATTGCAAAATTGCCACAGTAAGGTGGCCTAGTGCAGGCCTATCTTGTTGCTTGCCTGGGCTTTGGCAGAAACCTCTTTATGGTCCTGCTCTAGTTTCATGCCTTCCGGTCCGTGGTCCACACAACCACTGTTATAATCATTACCCATTTAGAATTTTTCAAAGACTCTATGTTGTGAATAGGATAACATTTTAACATTCGTTGTGCCTGTCCTTCCACAGTTACCTGTGTGTTTTTTCACTGTGACACCAACTTTACTGAAATAACCTTTTATAGAGAGTTTCCTTCTCTTGACTCTAAGCTTCTGAGGAACAGAAGCTTCAACTCACTCACCATATAGTCCCATAGTCACAACACCCTACATCCCCAATTCCTGTCTTCATACTTTCAGCTACAATAATGGAGCTCCTTGCAACTCTCTGTTATGTCTTATTTTCTAATGTCTCCATGGCTGCACATAGCTCTTTACTTGTCTCCTCCACTTGTTAAAATACATAACTAGTTCTCCAAATCTAAGAGCCTTTTTCTGACCCCGTTAAGTCTTTGGCACTATTTACATCAAGCTCTCCTGTGCCATGTTTCCTCGGTGTGGCGTTGACTGCTTTCAGTTGTGATTGTTGCCCTCTGTTGCTCAAAAGGCATAATGCTCATTGAGAGCAGGGGAATTTTTTCTTTCATTTCACTGCCTAGTATAGTACCTAGCATGTGGTTAGGTATGTAATTATTTGCTGAATAAATAAATTAGTGAGTGAATGGATGGACAGTGTGGATAAAAGCATGCATATGAGGGCATTTTTTTTTACATCCATCTTGTAGAACTCAAAATTGTATGCAGAATCAAATATAAGAATAAAATTATTGGTGTGTACAGTGAAATTGAGAAATCTGTTGTGTGGAGAATTTAGGGGAAAGGATATGTAGGGTAGCACCCTCTTGTTATCTGTTAGACAAAGAGAGGAACTCTCCCAAAGTAAATTGAATTCTGCTGTTTTGGATCTGTGACCAAGATCTTAAACTTTTGCAAAATGCCTGTGTGTATTCCCTACTATACACCTCAGTATCCTTGAAGCTGGCTCCTTCTCGGTCTGATAAAGCTGACCAGTGTATACTGGGAAAAGAAGAAAAATCCCACTTATTTAATGTAAAGTGAACCTATCTAGTGCACTCAATTTTTAGCAAAAGGGAGACAGATGTTGGCCTAACACCCAGCTTCAATCTCATTATCTTGGAATGTCCTTTTCTATTTTCATGAAACAAAAATGATGGTAATTGACCCTTAGTACTGGCAGGACAAACATGTTTTGATTAGGAAGAATTGGAAAAGATCCCAAATGAAGAGCATTGTTTTGTTTATATAGTAAAACTTCTTGGTGAAAAGCATGCATTGTAGGAACATCATTTTCTTGTAAAAATGTCACTAGGATATGTATTATGTCAAATTGAGCACAAATCCTATTAGATGACATCACACTTTGAAGTAAATGCTAAAAAAAAGTCACAAGTACAAAAGCTGATTGTATCAAATTTGTGGAGAATCACATTCCAGTGAGGCTGGATTCCAATTTGGGATAATTAGAGGGATTATAATAGGGACATTTAGCAAGGCCTGCTACTGCAGGTCCACATTCTGATAGGTACCTTTAATTAGTTTCCTCTCTTCTCAAGAATGAGTTGATCCTCCTAACTTTGGATAAACATGTGAATGCAGATCCTAGGGCTGAAATGGTTGACCATTATCTGGGTACCTACTAATCCAGGAAGAAGGAAGAACTCCAGAACTCAGAAAATATTAAATATTAAGATAATGCAAGGTATTTGGGGCAAAAACAAAATAATCATTTGGCAGTCTGGGATAGAGAGACCAAAGAGAAATTTGGGTACAAGGAGAGTACCCCTTGGGCCTATATGCATTTATTTATGTCCACTATGAAAAAAAGTTGTTTGAGGTAATTGAATAAATAATATATTAAAGACCAGGGTTAAAAGAAATCATGGAGAAAATAAAGATAGTATAGTAAGAGGTAAATTTGATGCATAGTGTTACATATTTTAGGTATGATGTAATTAATAGACAGCAAAAAGTAATGTTGGTCTTTAGGTGCATATTTCAGTGCTTGTTTCCTGACACTGAAGTATTCAGAACTCCTGTAGGGCCACACAAAGAAGATACTATGATATAACATCTGATTGTGCTAACAGGAGTTGCCAGAATTAGGCCTTCAACACATTCA